CAGAGGACAGAGAAGCGTGCCTTACAGGAAAGCTCTGAGCTATGGGGGTAAGACAGAGGCTGCAAGCTTGGGTTTTGGGGTACTCACAAGGCTTCTGGATCCAGGGCTTGAGTGGAGGAGGCTGTGGGATGGGGGTGGAGAGATCACTGGAGCATTGATAAGTGCCAGATCTGGGGGAAAGGGTGATGCTGAGTGAGAACACCAGAAGGAGATGGGACTTCCAACCTTGACAGATGGGTCCGACCACGTTCTAGTCTCAGGACACCTTGTCTTCCTGGCCAAGGGTGTAGGGGAAGATGTTTGCTTGAATGCCAGGAAGATGAGGGAGGGAAGAGGGAGGCAAACAGAAATGCAGCACGGTGGGAGAGAATTCAGAGGGAACCAAGAATGTAAGATAAAATAGAAGTGGAGAAGGGAGAATGAAGAGAAAAGAGAAGCTCAGACAGAAAGAATAAGAGGTGGAGGCTGGGGGTGGGGACAGGCAAGAAGCAGAAAGAGAAACCAAGAACAAACAGATGCAAGGGAGAGAAGGGAAAGAAGGAGGGGGGATAAAAATGGGGTGATGGAGGGAGAAAGGAGAGAAAAAGTTACAAAAAGTGGGTGCCCAGCCTGATCCAATCACGAGGCTGTGTTTGCCCCTGAAGGAGGAAGGTAGGGGAAAGGAGACCTCTCTCAGAGGGGCAGAGTCTGCCGCCTCCAGACCAGATGAACTCTCAGCTCTGAACAAGCTGGCAGTGGGGGGATGAGGGAGAGAGACTGCAGTGCTGGGCACAGGGAAGTGGAAAGGGGAGTCAACTCCCCCCACCCAGAAATCCCCCTGGGGTTCAAGACCAGAGTTGGGGTAGCACAGTAAGTATTCATGTGGGGCAAGGGGAAGCAAGCTGTCACTTGCAGGAGGAACCAACCCGGCTCAGTAACCCAGAGACTCCCCACAGAGCTGCTGCCCTGGGATCCCCAAAAGAAAGCCAAGTACCCGGTGCACAAAACTTAAACAGAAAGAGAATTGGGAACCTAAAGGGACCTAGTCAATGTCAGAGCTTGTCAATACCACAAGAGCCCCATCTTGCCCCCCCCCCTTGGTCAAGAATGGCCATTTCTACACTGCCAGGCAGCCAGAAAGCCCCTCCCGGGAGAGGTCGATGTAGTGACCTGCTCCCTCCCTCCTCCAGCCCAGGAAACATCTTAATTAGGCCCCAGACACCTGGAGAAACACGGATGTCCTTATGTCAACAGAGTTCCCCATTTAGCGACACCTCTACTGGAAAGAGCTCAGCCCCAAACGGTGAAAGTTTCAGAGGAATAAGCGTGTAATAGTCCCTCACCAGACCTCACACATACCAAAGAGAATATTTACAGCAAAGTTGCCAAAGTAAACGACCCCGCCTACCCGCCATCCTTTCCCTCACCTCCCCCCCCCTTTTTTTGTAAACTTCAGATAAACACCATTCGGTCACAAAAGGGTCGGTTTGCCCCTTTGCAGTTTGAGAGTCTGAGGCAGACGATGCCTTGGGGAAGCAGGACCTGGCGAGGTTTCCCGGCCATACTTGGGTAAGGCCAGTTTCTCAGCTGTATTTGTGGCCTGGGCTGCTGATAGGTTTTATCGTGAACTGCCTCTGCTTCTCCCTCACTTGAACATCTGCACACAGACGACTCCTTTGCTTTAAACGCTGCAGGCATTACAGATATGGAGAGGTTTTTAAAAAATAAAAATTCAGGCCTACAATGAAGTGAAAATTCCTTTTGCAAAAACCGGAGAAATATTGGGGAGACACCAGAGAAGTTCCGGAGTCCTCTTGTCCCCAAATGGGGTCCCCTTTCCCTCTCTTAAGTTTTGCTTGTTTTGCTGCAGAGAGGAAGGCACGTGTGATGTTTCTCTGGGCTCTTTTGTTGAGCAATGGGGTGGGGGTGGGGTGGAGAAAGAGAAGATCGAGGAGGGTCTTCAAAAAGCCTGGGGGGGGGGCGGGAGATCTTGTAGCATTCGCCTCGGAGCCTAAAGCCCCCACCCAGGGCGCACTAGCCTCGTGGGTTCTCCTGGCGGCCAGGCCTGGCCCGATTTAGCAGAACACACTAGCCAATGTTTAACTCGAATGCGGTGGCCACCAGGCCGCTTTTGTTTGTTCGCAAATTAATCACCCAGCGCACGGCCGGCGCCAGAGTGGGTTTATCACCCACCAGGAGGGGGGGGCGCGACGGCCTCGCAGAGACAAAGAGAAGTTCGCACCTTCCCGCTTTTGATCCCAAGTTCCCGCGGCTTCGCTGCAGAATATGAGCCTCGGGGGGCCGAGTCTGGGAGGTCAGTCATAATCGGCGGAAGTTTGCAGACCATTAGTGAGATGCGGACATTTTCGATTCAGAACCCCGCAAACTTTCCTCACCCCCCCCCATCTTGTGCGCTAGGGTGGGAGTGGGGATCAAGGGTGGCAACTGGAGTGACCCCAGGGTTACGTTGGAGCGACGGACAAAAATAGCAATCGAGGGAGGGGGCAGAAATCCGACTGGGTCCACAGTGAGGCCAGAGGCGAGTGGGGATATTTACAAGTGAAATAGCAAGCTGCCTTCCCACATCCCCAAACGAAGGGAGGGCGGAATGTGCGGGCCGGGACGACTGTCCCTCTCCAGTGCGTCTAGACAGGCGCTCGGAGGCTCCGCGTGGGTGAGGAGGGGTCCGTCACGTTGTGGCCACCGAATCACTTTCCTTCGGCAGCAAACGACCTGGCAGAGACAGCCCCGCGAGTGACGGCAGAGGCAGCTCGGGCTTCCGAGCCGCCTCTCCAAGCGCAGCAGAAGCTGCCCGGGCCCAGGCGGCCAGTCGTGTGGGGGAGGGGTGGGGTTTGCAGCCGGAGACTGGAGAAACCCTGCAGTGACCTCGGTGGTCCGCGGAGGGAGGGGCAGGCCTGGCCGCCGGCACCCTTCGGGACCGGGCCTCCAGAGACGCGGGAGGGGGCGTTGGGAGCGAAGCCCTGGACTCCCGCGACCTCTTGCTTTCCTCTCTTTCTCTCTTCTTAACGAGTGGCAGGGAGAGGCCTAGAGGACGCCAGAGAAAGGCCGAAAGGGAGAGAAAGGGGCGAGACGGCGAGCCAGAGTGAGTTCGCAGAGCCACTCTGTTCTCCGGTGATTTCAGGGAATTCTCGGCGCTGGCGCCAAGCGCTCTTAACCATGTGCGTCAAAAATGCGAGGTTGGAAAAGCTCGTCGCCTCGCCAGTAACGCCCCTAGCTCGGCGCAGTAGGCCCACAATGGAACTGCGTTTTCACCTCCACAGGCTCCCACGCTGGAGTGTGGGGACGGAGGGGGTACCCCAGACAAAATGGCAGAGAGGGCTATGCAGTCTCCGCAGGGAGATGGAGGCACCCAGGCAAAGCCTTGGGTTTCCTACCCTCTGGGCCCCCATCAGTCTTCTCCCTTCGCTTTCTAGGCGTGGGTGCTCTCAACTCAGGAAGGGTAAGGACACTGCCCCCCCCCCCCACCGAGCTCTCTCCATCTGCACAGGGACGACCCAACGAAGGGGTCCTCTCTCTCCCACCCCACCCCACCCCGAAAGCCAGAAGCGCGGGTTTGGGGAATCCTCTGACCCAGGCTGGGACCTGCGGTAACAGTCACCAGGTCGGCGACAGGTCTGGTCGGTCAGATCCGGTAGCCTTCCCGCCCCTTCACCCTCTCCGAGGCCCCCACCCTACCTGAACTGGAACCAGTCACCTCGCCTCTGGGCCGGGGGCGTTTCACGGTTTGTTTTACAAATTCACCCCCGACTTCTGGCGAGATAAGTCCCTGGGTGGAGAAATAACTGAGGCACCGAGAGATAAGTGCGATGCCTGGAGAAGATTCCAGACTGGCGAGCCTCCCCCCACCAGCTGCGCCCCCCCTTATCCGAGGCGGGGGCCAGGCCCAGAATACAGAGGTGCCTCTCCGAACTAGCTCGCTTTTGATCTCCCTGTTCCCTCTGCACCCACACACACTCCAGGTGAATCCCGCAGCCCGAGTACATGTGGCTCAAAAGGGCGAGTGAAAACATTTCAGAAAATGCCGAGTCCGTCTCCGACTGAGCGCAGACAGCGTGCGTGTTGGCGTGTTTGTGTTTCCCCGTGGGCGGCCGGACCCAGCGTGCTGGCCCGTGTTCGCGGGTTCTGTGACTGGGGGCGTTTGGGGCTCCGCACGCGGTCCCGGGGGGCGGCACGGTGCGAGGCGCCCCACACGCGTGCGCTGCGAGCTGGTCGCGTCCGTGTGCTCGTGAGCCCGCGAGCCCAGGTACTGGGGCGCCGACGCCGAGAGACCCGAGCTCGGAGCCTTCAGCGGCGGCCGGGCGGAGCCTGGCTCCACGTGGGGCTGGAGAGGGCGCAAGCCTGAACCTCGGCGCTCGCCTCGGCGGCTTTGGTGGCGCCCAGAGGCCG